GTCGTGGCCTGGGGTGTGCAGAGAGGCCGGGAAGAGCAGGTTGAACAAATTCATCACCCAACGGAGTTATATATTTAGTAAAGCACTATATACAGTTGCCGTGTGTTTTCATATTTAGAGTATTATATACAAATAAACATACAAAATTGTCAGCGTGAATGCAGCCCTGGTCTCCCCCAGCTCTTCTCTCCTTGCAAACCGGTTTCTCTTTAGAAGCAATTTAAATTTCTGCAGATTTCTGCTCCCCCCGTGCGGCACCTCTGGCTGCACCCGCCCAGTACCCAGTAACGACTGGGACTGCAGCAAGCACATCAAATCAATCCCAGCACCGCTCGGCCCCAACCCTTTCCAGTGCTGTGATCGCATGGGAAAAGGAGAAAAAAAAAAAAATGGGAGCAAACCACCCCCCAGACCCTGACAAACACAGCGGCGGCCTGGAGCATCGCGGAGCTGGCAGAAAACCCCAGCGGGCAGTGGCGAGGAGTGAGGGGCCAGCAAAGCCGCATCAGAGCCCGTTGCCAGTTTGCTTCTTTGCAAAAAAATAAATAAAATAAATGCAAAACCCCACGATGTTTCCTGCCACCGAGGAACGAAAGAACCCGGTCTGTACTCACCGCGCAAGAAAGCGGAGGAGTAGGTGGCGAAGGAGTCGAAGATGCTGTTGGAAGCCATCCCCCTCGTCCCGTATCCCAGCTCGCCTGGAGGAACCGCTGGACGGCGGAAGGAGGAAGAGGAGGGATGGGAGAGGTGGCAGCGAGGGAGAGGAAAAGGAAAACCCTGCCGGCGGTGCAGGTAGCCTCCGGCTGGCTGGTGGTTCTTTTTTTTTTTTTTTTTTTTTTTTTACACTAACAACTTTATGGTTTGTAGCTGGCGGTTCATGGGAGGCTCGCTCGGACTCGCGGCTGAGTGACAGACGGGAGCGGAGAAGACATTTCTCTTTAATTAATTATATTGCTGCCTTAGAAGAAACGAAGAAGAGAGCCCGTAGATTCCTAATTGGGTGACTGAAGTAATAACCCATTTACATGCCGTGGTTTTCTCCTTTTAACTGCCTTTTCTCCCACATTCACCACTTGTCTGTATCCTAATGTTGAGCTGTACACGGCTTCCCGACTCCCAGCTGGGGATGGGGACTGCGTGCCGAGACCGTTTCCATATGTGTAGATGGGTGGTTCTTCTTCACAGGGATTTTATGTGAATTAGTATTAAGCAAAAATATGAAGCACATGCGGCAGAATAAACAGCACTGGCTGCGGAGGGGCGACCGGGGAAGGTGAAGAGGGCTGGCGAGGAAGAGGAAGAAGGCAGTGGGTACGGCTGGCCTCCTGCTTTGCCGAAATACCAGCAGAAAATTTTTGTGTATTTTTTTAAGTAATAAAGCCGATCCTTTAACACAGGCACAGCAAATTTCCAGAAGCGCCTGAAGATGCTGTTTCTGCTGGACCGCAGAAACGCCAGCGCCTGGAATTGCAGCTCACACCTGGAACAGGAGCCGCTGTCGGACGCTGCCTGGCCAGGGCCTGGCGGGTTTCTCATAGAAAATCGCCATTATCGCCCTCGGAGATGAATTTTCCCTAAATGGGAAGAAATGTTGAATTGAAACATGAGATATTTGTCCTTTTCTTTTTTCTCCTCATAAGAACGAGCAAAGGGAGCTCTCTGATGGAGTAAAACAAATGCAAACTAAGCCTGAGTGACCAAAATCCGCAGGCAAATAGGACCCAGGGCAGGAGACGCTGGCCGTCGGGGCACACAAGCACGGCTGCAAGGTACTTGGAGAGTTTGGTGTTCGTCACAGCTCGCTGCTCACCGCTGTCATTCTCCTTTGAGTTTTTCATCCGATGGATGTTGGCGGTCAGATGTACCGAGATGTTATCAGGCGAGGCGTTACAGATTCCTGCAGCGCTATAAGAGGCTGGGAAAAAAAAGGAGCTGCTTGTATTTACTGTGGCTGAAAACTGCTTGTTTGCCGCTTTTAAGCAAAGAGTGGGGGGAAAAAAAATGGTTTCAGAGCGGTGAAGGGGGCAGAGGTTGTGCAAATGCTGGCACAAAAGGAAAGGGAAAAGCAACGCAGTCTGGAAAACACCCGCCACTGCACAGAGTGGGGTCTGTGGCACTGAACAGCATCGCCTTGTCTTGCTTGCCAGACACCCACCGCAACCACAGCTCCAGCCCTGGGATACGAGGCTGTGGGCAGCGAAGGCATTTCTATCGGAGCGGTGGCACCGCTCCCCTCCGGCTCCCCAGCAGCGGGGGGACGTGGCCCCCTGGCCCCGCCGTGGTCCAGAGGAGAGCAGGGTGGCTCAGCCCAGCAGTGTCCCGCTTGCCACCCCTGCCTGCTTCAGCCTTGCGAACCTCTTGGACAACAATCAGGTTTTTTAGGCTAATTTTAGGTTTCATGGCTCCTTCCCTGCAGAAAAGGGGTGGGAGTCTCAGCCCTTACCTGGCTTGGGTCCCAGGGGCGTTGGTGGGGGGAAAAGTCAGGATGAAGAGGAGGAGGAAGGAAAGGGGAAGGTGCTTTTAAAGTATCTTCCCACTCCCCCATGTCGTTAGGTGCCAGATGGGAGCTCTGATTCAGCTGTGCTGATTTACACACCGACCAAACATCCTTCAGCAGCACTAATTGAGGGAGGTTCTGGATGGGGCTTTTCTTCTCCATCGCCCTCCCACCACCCCCTTTTCCCTAAATCATGGCTGTACCACCCCACAGACATGGTCCTGAGCCCCTTCGGCACAGCCAGGACTTCTGGTCCTGGTCATCATCCCCATGTGATCCACAAAATCAACCTTTATCATAAAATTTCTCCTCCTGCCCCTTCAAATTGTGTTTTTTGCCTCCTGTGGGGCTTTAAATGAAATGCTCCCAATTGCTCCTGCAGTCAGGTGTCAGGGGCGTTACGGGGCCGCATCCTGCTGGGTATTCCGTACGGTGCCTAGGCACGGTACCCAGGGAGCTCACGCACAGCCCAGGCACCGCACTTCATTACGCACATTTATTTGCATCTGGGTGAGAGTCACGGACATCCCCAACGATTTTGTGTTCACCGAGACTCGTGGAGATCCAAAATTCCTCCCCAAAGCCCCACAAGGCTCCAGAGCGATTTGAGGACCAAACCCATGTTAAATTCTTGTGCTTTTATATCCATTTGCAAAAACGGGTCCTTTTTCGTTAGCGGTGTTACCATGGGAGCTGCAAAATGGAGCCAGGAGGAGGTGAAACACCTACCCCATAGAAAGCACAGGGGAATATAACCTGATCGGGGGAGCTGCTGGGATTAAAGACGCTGTTCTATTTGTGCTTGCAAAGCATGGCTCGAGAATGGGCAGGTTTTAAAAATAACTGATTAACAGCTCTTGTGCAATTAATCCACCTCTGGGATGGTCCCCCCGTTCGGAGCCTGGTGCACAGCTCTCCCCTGCCGCCGTGGCCTGGGGTCAGCTTTCAGCTGGGTTTTTCCCCTGCGTGGCCGGGGAGAGCTCCGTGCTGGCTAGAGGCAAGCGGGCAGGTTGCAGAGGATGAATATTTCCTGCTAATAATAATATTGATAGAAAAATAATATCAGAGACCCCAGCCCCAAACCTTTCCCCTTGCTCTCACCACCCTGAAGCTCGGGATTCACTTTGTGGGCATTGCTGCGAGTGAAGGGCAAACCCAAAAACCCACCGAGCCTTGATGCTCCCCTGCAAACACAGCCCCGGCCTCGAGCCAGCCCGGCTGCAGCTGCACGCTCCCAACCAAAGCACAGGTACAGCAACAGCACTTGTGCCCTCGCTGCCTGCACCCCAGCTGCCTGCACCCTGTTGCCTGCACCCTCGCTGCCTGCGAGCCGCAGAACCACTCAGGCATTTCTGGTTTAGCAAACCCACTGGTTTTACCCCCAGCAAAGTGCTGCTTCTAAGAAAGACGTGACGGTCCCTGCAGCAAGCAGGTCGCTGTATGCGCAGCTGGCGCCGGGTGCTGGCGTGGCAGAGGGGCTCCGCAGCTCAGCCGCTTCCTCCACCTCTCAGCCAAAACCGCGGCTGGGTGCAGCCTCTCACCTCGCCCCGTGCTGCCAGCTTTCACCTCCAGGAATGGGGTGGCCAAATTCACCTCCCAGAGGTGCAGGCAGCGGGTCTGGCGGTGCCGTACGCGCACACACACATGCACACATGCACACCTCCCCATGCAGCCCAAGCGCCGGCACCCAGACACCAGGGAAATGCAAGAATTCAGCACCCGCAGGTCCGCTCCGCAGGGAAAGCTGCTGCAGTGCTTGGCG